AGTTGTATGCTTCCTGAGTTTTGAACTCTTGCAGGAGAGTAAAACGTTTAAAAACTTTCAGCAAGTTCAGCTGTGACAAGGAGTGATGTAATAGTTTGGCCAAATGTGATGTGGGAGTTTGTGGTATGACAGTGTAAATATTACATTGTGTAGGAATAGTAGGAGTCAAACCTGTGATAAATCAATCTAAACAGAATATGGGTTAAATATTCTGTTATTTCTGGGCTCTTGGTTCGCAACATAGAGACTTTTCTCACATTTTATTGTAATGAAACTTAATTTGAAATTATCTTTTAGAAAAACTCAGGGCCCATACTAGCCTTCAGCCCAGACATCGATATGTGTGGTTTTAAAGTTAGCTCTTTCAAAACAAGGCCAAGTGGGAAAAGGAAGCTGATGCAGACACTTAGCTGTCTAACAAGACATTGAGTGTATTAATTTTATAGCCCCTTGAATAGTGTGTAAGAAGTGTGATAAGAATGCTGTGTGCTTTGAGTGGAAAATCTAAATAGCATTTTTGTATAGGGGCTGTCTCTCACTCATTTTCAGTTTATGTTGTGTTCTTTGTAGCACAACAACTTCTGGCACAGTTGGACACTATGATTGCCATTTTCTTGTTGAAAACTAAACGTGTTTTCATATACAAAGATTTAGCAAGAGAGCTAAGGTAATGCATGCTGGGATTATGTAGCAGAATGGACTCATTGTGCGTGAAGTCTCCATGTAAGTGTTTTGTGGTCTGTTTTTGTTGGTTTTTTTTTTTCATCCTTGTAATTTTTTGTTTTTACTTTTTGTAGACCCTGCTGGAAGCACTGACAATTGCTATTACAGGTAAATGGTAGCCGTCCTGTTGTCTGATTCCATAAAGAAATTGGAAAAGGAATCCAGTATGTTGTACTAACTGGCATCTGAGATTTCCTAGATGTGACTAAAATGATAATATTTTGAATATTTGTTTGAAAAATTTAATGACAGTGATATGAGTTTAGCAAAAAACAGGGAATCAAGGGAGGAAGCTGGATTCTGATCCAGAACCGAAACTGTACAAACCTGAAGTCAGAAACGAGCTGTCATCTGTTCTTTCTGTAGAGCCAGTCATCTGTTCTTTCCTGTAAAGCAGCTCTGAGCAGAGCTGATCGGCAAGTGAAATATCCTTATTTTCTCCCTCAGTTTCCTCCAGAGTTTGGAGAGTTCTGTACTTTGTTGTCAGGGTTGAGATGGAGCAGTGTGCAGACAAGTCATCACCTTCCACTACAGCTTCTGGCTTAAGATGAAACCTCCTTGTTGTGGCTTGTGATCTCCTGAGGAAAAAAAAATAATTGTTTGGGGAAAGGAAAGAGGGAAGAATTAAGGAGGAAGGAGGGAAGAAAAAGGTTCCATTTATTTTCTTATCTTTCCTGTCTAAGAAAAACTCTATGAGCCTTTGCATAGGACTGATTTTTTTTTCCCTTGTTTCAGTATCATGAAAAATTCAGATAGCTTTTCCCTTAAGATCTCTCACATCTCTGCTTAAAATACATTTTTTTCTTTTTTTAATTGCGATTAGGGAAGTTCTGTTATTTCCATTTAAGAATCTATAGCTATAAGGTGACTGTCAAACTTAGCTAGTGCAAGGTCTGTGAGTTCTATGATCATGATTTTGAAGTGCAAAGACAAATTCAGGCATAATTTACTTTTTTTTTTGTTCACAGTTAAGATTTCTTTTTCCTGTCTGTGAAAGTTTAAATTTCTGTTTCCTCAAAAGATAACTTCACAAATATGTAGTGTAGTGTTCTTTAAATGACACTTTACTTTTTCTGTTTATAGTGAGTTTCTATGATGTCTCCATCGTCTTGCAAGCCTTTATTCTTACTACTGCTGTATTTCTTGGACTGACTGCATATACCTTGCAGTCAAAGAGAGACTTCAGCAGATTTGGAGCAGGGTATGTTGTCATATTGATGATTTTTTTTTTCTTGTTTTGTTCAGATGATTTTTCCTTTTTCAAAGCGAGCTTTGCAGATATAATAAGAAATGCAGGTCAATAGAACCTGCTTCAAGGGGGGTGAGGGTGTTAACTCAGTAAATTATTAATTTTATGTGGTTCTGCTTTCTTGGTAAGAAATTATTTTCTGTGATTATGAATCTTAAAACTGTACTATTAGACTAGAAAACTAGTTTATCTGGGATTTTCACTGAGTGAGAAGGCAGCTGCTCCACATAGTTTTTAAAAAGCAGTTAGAACATAGCTTTTGACAGCTTTATAAAACTGAGTGTTACTGCTCACACCAACGAAAACCTAGCATCTAAGAACTGTAGGCAGTTACTTACCAAATATAATGTGAAGAGGTCTTAGAAGAAGGGAAAAGATTGTAAGTAAAATTTAAAAGGAAATGTATTGTTGCTCACAGTTGGATGTGTTTTTTTCAGCCTCTTCACTTGTTTGTGGATTTTAATCTTGTCGGGTTTCTTGAGGGTAAGATACTTTTTCAAGGTTAAAAAATATTCTTTAACATAAAACTCTTATTCTACTGCAACAAAAAGGTTTTAGACAGTGCAATATAACTTAATGAATGAAAATCCCTAACCAGAGCCATTATAGATCATGCTGGTGATCTTTTAACCATTTGTTTCTAGTTCAGATTTTTGTTGGATGCTGTTCTTAATGTAAAAGTATTTGCATCAATTGACAGAATTTATCAGTTGAGACCCACTACTTGATTGAGACAGTGGAAAGGAGATTGGGGGTTTAATTGTGTTTTGTTCTTCTGAGTTTTCTGCTCTTAATACTCTGGATACCAGAGCTTCCTGTCTTTTGAATGGAGACATTTTTACTCAGTTAAAGAGATTGTGGAACTGAGGACTATATGAAATAAGAACACTGAAATGTCATCACAATATCATATTTATGTGTCCATAACAGTAAAAAGAAAGTGTGCATCCTTGTTTTAAGTGTGACATATCAATATGCAGGGATTTTAATATTAAAAAGAAAATGACATTTACAATTTTTTTCCATGTTTCATTTGCCTCCAGCTGTTTTTCTATAGTGAGACAATAGAGTTGGTGTTTGCTGCTGCTGGAGCTCTTCTATTCTGTGGATTTATTATTTATGACACTCATTTGCTGATGCACAAATTATCCCCTGAAGAGTACATACTGGCTGCAATCAACCTCTACTTGGACATCATCAACCTGTTCCTGCACCTACTACGCTTACTGGAGGCTTTTAATAAAAAATAGTCAAAGGCGATGTGGTTTGACTGTAGCATTATGAAAAGTGAGGCGTTTGGATGGTCTGCAGACTGTGTCGTTCTAGAGCCTTCTAGAGTCTGAGTCTTTATTACTTTTTCATTCCATGAATATTTCTCTCTCCTTAGGAAAAGAAGAAAAGGCTTTTTAATGTAGCTACGGTTCTTTTTTAGATTATATATTTTATGTAGTTACCATGTTGTCGTCGTTTCAGTCACTTTTTGAATCACTTCCTTTGCACTTGACAGAATTCATGATTAAAAATTTGCCAGCTTCTGTTTGCTCTAGAAGAAGGCCTTGTCTGCTGTTCTGTAGCTGCTAGAAATGTTTCCTATGGTATTACAAGCATGTGTACCATGTAAGGGTAGCCTGAGCTTACCATCTTGCAATGCTTTACTAAGCTAATTTTTTTTTTGTTTGTTTCTAGTTTTTGTTTGGTAAAATGGAATGCTCTCTGTAAAAAAGATACTCTGTTCTTGTTCCGGGCTGTCAGGTGGTTCTGGAAGCTCAGAGGTTAAAGGGAATGTTCTTCATTGAAGTGTTATTTATTGCCTAATTTTAGTGTTCTGGAAAATCATTTGGAGATGGATTCTGGCATTTATCATTTTATGTAGATGAAGGTTAATTGCCTGTCAATAAAAATCAGAATAACTTCAGTCTGTTCTTGCAGTTGAGGCTGGAGAACTTCAGAGTGCTGAAAAGGACAGAGCACAATGGCCCTGTACCTGACAGGCATTTTGTGCTGGCAGGGAAATGGTGCTGTGACGTGGCTGCTTTCCAACCTGTTGAGCTTCTGGAATGGCAGGCAGGGTACAAACAGTTTTGAAAGGCTTTGTTGCTTCACAGTATTGAAGTCCAGGTGTTGTTCCTGCTTGCCTGTCCTGTCAGGTTAACAAAAAGACAATGCAGGGCTTGGTAAACATCACATGTCCTGCCACAAGAAGTCACTATGGATGCTTTCCATGCTGGAACTTGACTATTGAATTATGGAATCAGAGAATCAACCAGGTTGGAAAAGACCTTTTAAGATCATCAGGTCCAACCATTACCTCAGGACTGCCAAGTCCACCACTAAACCATGTCACTAAGGGCCACAGCTACATGTTTTCTGAGCACTTCCAGGGATGGTGATACCACCGCTGCCCTGGGCAGCCTGTTCCAATAGTTGAGCACACCTTCGGTGAAGAGATTTTGCCTCATACCCAGCCTAACCCCCCCCCCCCGGCACAGCTTGAGGCCGTTTCCTCTTGTTCTGTCACTTGTCAGGTGAGAGAGGAGACATACCTCCACCTCCCTACAGCCTCCTTTCACGTAGTTGTAGGGAGCCATAAGGTCCCCACGGAGCCTCCTCCAAAGATAAACCCGAGCTCCCTCAGCCGTTCCTCACGTTCTCCAGACTGCGTTGCCCTTTTCTGGACCCCCTGAAGCACAAGTGCAGATTGCTTTGGGCAAGCATGAGGCTTTCTCTCCTCTGCTGGGGTTTCATTACGACACGTGTGGCAGCAGCTACGAATAAAACTGCACTCACGAAGGGGTACGTGTGTGTATTTAACACACACCGGGGGCAGAGCGGCGGCGGCGGCGGCTGCGCGCTTGCTCGGAGCATTACGGTAGGGCCTGCAGCGCCGCGCTGGGTGGGCGGGGCTTATCCGGTCAGCCCGCGCATGCGCGGGCAGAGAGAACAGCGTACCGGGGCCGCGGTCGGGGGCTGTGTGCCCGTGGCGCATGCGCCGCTGTTAACGGCTCCTCTGCCGCGCGCTTCTCCCTCACCGCGTCCGTGTGGCCTGCGCTCCCGACATGGCAAAGAGCCTGAGGAGCAAGTGGAGGAGGAAGATGCGGGCCGAGAAGAGGAAGAAGAACGCGCCCAAGGAGCTGGAGAGGCTGAAAAAGATCTTGGGAGCCAACGCTGATGTCGTCATGGAGGAGGTCAAGGAGGTGGCGACTGTGCTGCCGCCGCAGAAGGTCCTCGAGCCGCCGCGCGGTGAGTTGGGCTCTCGCGGGCCGCTGCCTCAGCCGCGTGGAGGGCCCTGCTGCCGACCGGAACGGGCCGCGGCGGGAGCTGAGCGGGCCCAGGCCCTCCCCGCCTCCTCTCCCACCCCGTTTCTAGCGTGGTTTTCGGTGAACCACGGGGTTTTTTGGTGTTGCAGTCATCCACGCGTCGGGGCGTCCTGCGCTATTGCTTATCGGTGTTCCTGTGACTTTCACTGTCGTGATCGTGCATACAGTTAGGACAGGTTGGGATTACTGAGTTGGAAGACCAAATCGTTATCTTTTACGGCCATAAGATGCTATTTAAATCATTGAATCTGGTCACTTTGCAATACTGGCTTCTCTGTGCATCCAGTCGCTTGTGGAAGAAGCTTATTAGCGTGATTTAAAGTATGTAGTATCTTATCAGCAGTCCTTTCTTTGTGGAGACGGTTTAGAAGCTGTTCTAATCACAGCATTGTATTTGCTGCTAAAGTGGAGATAGGGTATTAATTCCCTCCTAGTTTAAGGAGGACACTAAACATACAAGGAACTGGATATAAGATTGGATATAAGGAAGAAGTTCTTTACTGTAAGGGTGGTGAGGCACTGGAATGGGTTGTCCAAGGAAGTTGTGACTGCTCCATCCCTGGCAGTGTTCAAGGCCAGGTCGGATGAAGCCTCGGGTAGCATGGTTTAGTGTGAGATGTCCCTGCCCATGGCAGGGGGGCTGGAACTAGATGCTCTTAAGATCCTTTCCAACCCTAACTATTCTATGATTCTATAAAAGTCGGGCCTAAATGTAATGTAATTTTGTGGATATTTTATCATTAATAGGGTGATTTCCCTCCTCCCCCTTTTTTAAACATACTGTTTCAAGGTAAGTGTAGCAAGGACCTTGGTTTTATGTGCTGAATAATGCTGCACTGCACATGGTGCAGGAATGGGTATTGTTAGCTGTCTAGGGATGATGCCACCTTCCTCTATGGTCTGTGGGTAGGATGTAATTTGTAAAGGAAGTAATCCAGGAAGTGGAAATAAAGGTTTTAAGTGGGTATGTACTGGACAGGAGTCAGAAGGACACATTCTCTTTCCAAAACTGCAGTCCAGACTAAATCATAGTACATTTTGCTTCTCCAGTTTTTGCCACTTAAGCTGTTAGGATATTGCACATACGAGCTTTTTATGTGGCATGCAGAAGACTCTTGGGAGATCACAGTGGGGATATAGAATAATGCTAGTAGTCACTGTCAGTCACGCAGCCAGTTCTGTCAGTGCTTCTGGAATTAGGAAAAACAGGTGGTGTGAGGTTGAATAGCAGACCCTCTGAACTGTATTGAAAATGGAAATAGAATGCTATATAAAAGTACTTGCCCAGTTAAGGGTGGCTTGGAGTATAATTTGTAGTTTTATCCATGGTTCTGATTTGTGTGCCAGATGTAAAAGTTGTTCTTTATGGGATTATTAGAATTGCCTTTCCAGAATGTTTTGAAACACTGTCAGCCTTCTGATGTTGGAGCTGTAGGAAACAGTGTTGTCTTAAACCTAGTTTCTGAAGCAAATGCCTGGCTGGCTGTCATTCCTGCACCTCCTTCCAACTCTGCTGGCAACTTTTCTACAAGTGGCCAGTTTCGCTTGCCCTTTGTAGAGAGATAGCAGCCTCAGACATACCTAAGAATACATATATTTCACAAAGCATGTACAAGTTTTGTGAAAATTATAGTGTCTTATTTGAGAGGACTTTTCAGCACTAGCTGTCTGTGCAGGGGAGTTCACATAGTTGTAAGGACTGAAGTAAATGATAGCTTCATTCAGAATATGCACTTTCCGTAGACAGGTAAATAATTTTCCAGCCCAAGAAAATATATAGGTGTACATTAGGGACATTTTCTTGTCTTGTGAAATAATTTCAGTTTTTGTTGTTAGGAAAAAAAAAACTAAGATCTGGATAGCCTTTGGTCAGAAATGGTTTTTAAAACTTTGTGGGCAGGCAAAGATTTTTTTCATTATAATGATATCTATTGAGTGTGCTTGGATAACCTACAACTTTTGGGTTTTTTCTTGGTCATTTTCTTTTTGTCTTTAAACCTTTTGATAGGTTTTCTTTGTGTCCTTGCACCACTTCTGTTCAGTAGGTTTCTTCCTATTGCCAATTCCTGTAGCATCCTTGAGATTGCAAAGTATGATGAAAACGTTGTGCTGCATGAGCAACAGGTACTTTTTGTCCAGAAGTATTTCTTCATTTAGTCTGTGTTGTAGCTGACACTTACTGTGGGTGTGCTTTTTTGCAGTCAGAATTTGTGTTAACAGGTGAACCTCAGTCATGTGACAGGACAAGAATCAGAGAAGAAGATTACTTACGTAGAGCTAGTTTTCTTGGGGTGGTAGGATTTCTTGTGTTTTGTTGTTGGAGGCCATCTCTCCCATGACATTTGGAAAAGATTGCTGTTAAGAAAGTCTCATGTGTTCCTCTGACATCTCAGGAGGTTTCTGGAGCTGGGACTTTTTGTGCTGCCTGTCCCATGCTGGATCAGCTTTTGGTTGTGCCAGTAAGCCCGTGTGCTGATTCTTTGCTGACTGCAAGTATTTGTATCTCAACTTCAGGGTTCCCTAAGCACAGACTTGTGCTGCACATCCAGGTAGACTGTTGGCATGCTTCAACTAGTGAAGCAGCACATGGACTTTTTGTTTCCCAACTTCAGACAGGCGGAAGATAAAGTCTTCTTTTTCCTGTTCATAAAACTCGTGATAAAGCTTTTAGAGTTGTACATGGAATGAGACATGGCATTCATGTGGTGTTACCTAACTGGGGGCACCCTTCTTGAGCATGACCATGTCACCAGCTGTCTTTTTGGTCCTAGAGATTAATTATAGCATGGTTTGTGTTGGAAGGGACCTTAAAGATCACCTAGATCCGGTCTGCCTATTATGGGAAGGGACACATTCCACCTGACCAGGCTGCTCAAAGCCCCATCCAGCCTGGCCTTGAGCACTTCCAGGGTTGGGGACAGCCGCAGCTTCTCTAGACAACCCTGTTCCAGTGTCTCGCCACCCTCAAAGTGAAGTATTTCTTCCTAGTATCTAATCTAACTACCCTCTTTCAGTTTAAAGGCACCCTTTCTTGTCTTATCACTAGATGCCCATGTGAAAAGTCCCTCTTCAGATTTCTTGTGGGCCCCTTTTAGGAGCTAGAATGCTGCTTTAAGGTGTCCCTGGAGCCTTCTCTTCTCCAGGCTGAATAACCCCAGCTCTCTCAGCTTGTCTTCATAGGAGAGGTGCTCCAGCCTTCTGATGATCTTTGCGTCCTCTGGACTCACTTGAGCAGGTCCATGGCTGTCTTAGGTTGGGGGGCCCAGAGCTGCACACAGTGCTCCAAGTGAGGTCTCACAAGAGCAGAGTAGAGGGCCAGGATCACCTCCTTCAACCTGCTGGTCATGCTCCTTTTGATGCAGCCCAGGATATGGTTGGCTTTCTGGACTGTGAGCACACACTGCTGGGGCATATTGAGTTAATCCTTTGTTTCTGTCTCTAAATATATTAGACTTGACCTTGTGTTGACTTCTTGAGGCAAACACAGCATCACTGTCTCCCTTGTGCTTTATACCATCATTGTATTTTAGCTTTTCCTTTTATTTTATCGTTACCTGTCTCTTTGTCTTCCACTCAAATTAATTTTACATTACATCATAAAAAGTATTTAATTGTGCATATGTTTCAGTAAGCCTGTAGCTTCCGGTTTGGTTGTAGCTTTTGATGGAGACCACACACAATGTTTTTATACATGGTACTGGAGCAGATGGCAGTGAAAGTATAAGGTGCTTTTCCCAGACATGGGTCTTGAGGGAAAATTCTGCATATTTACTATCAGCTCTTGAAGTTCCTGGGTTGCAGTTGTATTGGTTTGGAAACTGCTTTCAGAGTATAAAGCTTTCAGCTTTTTCCATACAGATACTCTTGTGTGGAGGTATGTTTTCATCGTTTTGGGTAATCTGGTAACAAGATAGCTTCTGTGAAGCTGATTCATGTATTTTACTCATTTTACTCAAATAACTTTTTTTTTTTTCAGGTGACTGCAAAATGGACGTAGATAATAAACGGAACAAAAAAACTCTTCTAGACCAGCATGGACAGTACCCAATATGGATGAATTCCAGGCAGAGAAAGAAGCTTAAGGCACAGCGTGTTAAGGGGAAAAAAAAATCAAAATTGGCCAAAGGCCTAGTCTGGTAAAATCGCAGTTTTGTAAGATCATGAATATTTTACTTGCAAAATAATTATCCCAAATAATACATTATATTTTTGTGCTTGGCCACCAAATATAATACATTGTGTTGCATGAATTTTTTAAGAGAGTGTTGGGCCAGAAAGTGATGACAGCAGTATCAACTTGGTGTCTAACAAACTTAAATCAAGCTGAGTGCCTTTGAATAGACTGTCTGTTGTGATCTGTTTTGTTGAGGGGGAAGGGTCTTCATCTTTTATATTGTAATCTTGAAAATGCTAAAGGAAATCCTAAAAATAATAAAGTTGTAAATGTTTTTTATACTGTGGTCTTTGTCAGTGTAACTTATCTTTTAGTAAATTTAACCAAAGGATTGTGTAAAGTCACCATAACCTTTAAATTCTTCTGTAAAATCACTTTTGTTGTGCAGTTGTGTTGCCTTTAACATCTGGTGTTTAATGAAAATGGGCTTTTGACATGCAATTTGGACGAGATTATACACTGAAACCAACTCCAAGGCTTTGTAAAACTTCTGTTAGCTGACACTTTGTCTTTTTACTGACTTCAGCTCGCAAAGAGAAGGTTGTTGGAACAAAGAAGTATTTTGCTGTCTGCAACTGAAATATTGTAGGAACTAAATAACTGAAAGTAAAAATCATTATTATTAATATGAGGGAATGCAAATGCACAGATTGGAAATAAAATAGTTTTTATTTAAGATCTTTTCCAAGTTTTAGTAAAGTTTTCGTTCTTCCTAAAATGGTACTTGTCTGTCGTGTTTTACAAGGTGGGCATAGGATAAAATGTTGCATGGTGGCGTAACAGATGCCATTTATATGTGATCAGCTGCAGTTGGTTGCATATTACTCGGCAATAACATGTGATGACAGATGCACGAACTAGTTGCCCTGAAAGCTTGTGTTTTTAAAATGTCTCTCATTTCAAGGATGGAAACAATTACACTACCAGTCCTGCAGGATGTTGCCTGTTGAAGTACCATTCATCAATGCAGAGCATAACCTGTGTCCAGCTTCATCCAAGGTGGAATCCGTGCTTTGTAATGGACCACAAATTGTGATATGTGCCTGTTGTGGTAACTTGGGCACATGAAATAGGATATATTGCTTTAAAAGTAATCACACTAGCTTATACTATGCTAAAATCCACCAAGAACAACTCATCCTGATAGAAAATCTAGTTTTTTTTGGAAAAATACAGTGGGGTTTTAAGTATTCTTTTTGTTAGGAGAAAAGTATTCTGTTCCTCAGGTAAAGAACTACAGTTTGTTGGAGGAAATACCAGTGCATCTTCTTTTTTCTCGCACATGTTGACAGTTAATGACACTTGGTTAAGATGCATAGGTCAAAGTTTACCAAGTTATATAGGATTAATAACTTTGTACTTTAAAAGTACTTCCATTAAGTTGATAATAACCTGCTAAAAAACAGATTCCAGCCTCAATTTTTTATTGAATAAGTGGGTCTAGATTTTGGTATGAAATATGTTAGCACTTAGATTAGTGCTACTTTAAAATTTATGAACACAGGAAAGTTTTATTTAAGGTTTATTCTATAATGTTTATCCAGAAATTGAATGAACAGTCAGTTTATATTTCTTTACTGTTTTAATGATGTAGGCTGTATTTTGCTTAGGGTGTGCTTTGGAGAGTTGTACAGGCAAGCTGCTTGGGTTTAAACACTCACGACTTGTTTTTTTTTTTTTGTATGGGGTAAGCATAGTGCTATTTTTGACATGCTTGTTTGTAAATCAGATTTTCAAGCACCTCCTGGTGGGGAAACAGACTGGTTTTCCTGCTTGGAGATAGTCACACTGGTAAAGTTGTCCCATTTAACTGTACTGCTTCAGAGCCAGTTTATTTTCATTCTTTAGGTACACAGCCGTACTCTCATCTTGATTGAGGCTGCCACAACTGTACTTGCCTTACCCACTCCTCTCCGGAGGTGTTCCAGTTCTCTGTCTGCCCCTTTCTCACAGATAAAATTGCCTACACAGCTGAACGCTCATTTCTGCTTTTATGACCTTGCCCTAAAGCTTGGTTGCACAAACTTATTAGTTACTGCTTTTATGACCAGATTAAGATTTTGAATCTCGAGTGGGAGACAGCAGATGCTGCACTGATGTTTTATTTAGCCGTTAACTTCCTACCAGCTGAAACAATACTGGCTGTGTGAGGTATTTCCTTTATGGTGTCCAGGATAAAGTCAAACAGGTTCACTTAAACTACAGATATTTTGAGATATCCTGTTTGATTTTTGAGCTGAAACAGAGAATAAGAAAGGAATAAACCCCAGTCTTTACTGGGAGGTAGGTCTTAGTTTAGTACCGGTGTGCTGCGTGCAGTGTGAGTTGGGAGGTACGCTGCGAGGCTGGTTGAGTGGGATCTGTAATCTGGGCAGCAGGCTCCCTTGTAGACAGGCAGCAGGACCTGGTTAATGTGCAGCATAGGTGTAACCTCGCAGGTGGAGTCATAGATGCAGCAGGGAAATTTTGCCTGCTAGGATTTGTAGGTATACACATACAGCACGTGTACTGCATGTGGCTGCTGCAATTCTGTATTTGGAATGTCCTTCAACAGCTGTATTTTTTGGATATGAATACCAAATCTTTAGTTGTCAGTGGGTGTTTGATTTACATCACTGAAACATGTTCTGTTTGATCAGCTAGTGAAAAAAATAATTTGTGTTTCTTTAGAAAATAAAACAGGTTTGGGCTGAAATACATGTTTTAAAGTCTTCAGAGGGACTTGCAAAATAAGCTGTCTGCCTCTAAGCATTCTAATGGAGTTATAATTTGTTGATCTTTAATTTTTAGGTTGTGATTGAGGGAGAAGAGTTTGCAGTTAAACAAACTGATGCAGGTCTAAAAGTGTGTTACTGACATGGTGGTGTCAGAGTTGGGGTTGGTTTCTTAACAACTGTGCTATTACGAAACCGCTTTGTTGAAATCTCCTATGGCTGCAGCTGCCACCTACCTGCAAAGTGCTGTGGTAGTTGCATTTCATGGACCTGCAAAAGGTAGGGGAAATAATATGGGGTGTTTTAAACGACAAGCATTATGTCATAACTGAAAGGTTTACGTGCTGCCATTTTATTGAAGTGTATGTGTATAAAATGTGTATGTATACAGTATAAAAATTGCATTAACAAATTGCTAAATGTCCTGCAGAGTGTTGGCAGAAGACAGCAATGGTCTGCCCTTTTTGACACAGTGTGCAAATCTTGGTTTTAAGTAGAGTTGTTTCAAGTCCCTAAAATAACGTGGTGGTGATAATGCAGTTCATGGGCTTGGGTTTTCTGGTAGAGTTCCAGAGTTCCTGCTCTGGAACACCGTGTTTTCTGTGTTGTGTAGTCAGGTGACTGGGGGAACTGCTCTATCCTGTACATTAAAAATCTAATTTATCTAACCTAATCTATCCTGTACATTAAAAATATTCCTATTTCCCCCCATATTTTTAATCTGGATCAGTTTACAGCCTTACTGTACAAAAGAAGCATTGTCAGTAGGAGGCAATGTAAGACTGGGAACGAATAGCTGGGGAAGGCAGGGTTGTGTGAGACAGTTCCTTGCTTAAGCTCTGACATCCTGTGCTACCTTCTCTGCTGTGGCTCTAGCAGCACAGCCACCATGCAGTGCAATGTTTTGCAGACAGGGAGAGGGTCCGGAGATGAGGTCAAGCAAATGCATTGAATAGTGGGTTTTAAAGTGTTGCTCACGGGAGGGTATGGTGTTGGAATAACTTAGGTCAGTGTTCTTACAGTCCACATTAGGTTTTCCTGTAGCCCTCTGACAACATAGGCTTCACTGGTGTACATAGTCAGATGCAAGCTTTTAGGGAGTCTTTCAGTTTGCTTTATCTTTGGGTTTATCTGCAGCCCATGTTGTGGTTATAGAGTACACTGAATCTGGTTTGAGATGTCTGGCATTGGAGGAAGAATGTCATAGCCACCTGATGCAAAGTGCTCCTCTGATGCATGGTCACAGGATTTAAAAACCAAAGCAACAAAACCAGAAGTAGCCCTCCTTTATCTATACAAAGGTTCCATGCTGTATATCTGTTTCTACCTTGCTACCCTTTCCTCTTGCAGCCCAAAGAGTCACATGAGTTCTAGTGAATTTGATGGAAGCTGAACATCTGACCTGCATCTGATTTGTAGTGTGAACCTGACTGGTACTAGAGATTTTAGGACTACAGCCTTAGCACTGCATAAACCTGAGAGGTTCAGGGCAATGCATTCCTCTCGTGACATCGTCTTCGTTGGATTAGGGCAGCTCTGGGGATGATTAGAGTCTGAAGCAGTAACTATGAACTGCTCTCTTCAGACCAGGGTTTTGCCATCAGTTTTAATTTATCTAAGGGTTAAGCTTCAGGGAGCCATCTGATAGCTCACTGCTGCAGGAACGTTTCCCCTTCCCTCCTCCAGCTCTACAGCCCAGTTCATGATTTCCTACTTCAGGTGAAATAGACTTTGGGATATTAATTCTTTTTCCTGAGCTAAAAGACAGAACTGACAACTTTCTTCTGTTTAATAAACACTGAATGGTTGTGGCAAGCCCCCCATGCCGGTGTCCTTTTATTCTTCCTGCCCTATTCTGGTGTTCCGTTTTCAGCTTTCCCTTATCAATAGAAGCAGTACTCAGAGCAAAAGAGAAGGTAGAATGGAAAGAGGATGACTTTTGTGCTGCCCCTTTTCCTCTTCCCAATCGCTTTAACGTCACTCTCTCGGGTCTGTAATTTTTCTGGTGCACACGTATTGATAGAAGAGGTCTGAAATGTTAGAAACAACACGTGGTATGGCAACAGAGGGAGTTGTGGCGAGGGTCCTACACAAGGTAGCACGAGGCCTGCTTTATGAAGGACTTGTGAGCAGACAACAAACAGTGACTTGTTTTCCTCTATTTCAGTCTAGTCACCATTCAGAAGACTCTGAAGCTTATGAGTTAGATTCTGGTTTGGTAAACTGTTATTTAACATCTTTTCTCTCTAATTCCAGTTCGTTTTCTTACGAGGCTTCTGAAGTCTAGATGTAGATTTTGTAGCATTTGTAAGCTTTAGCCTTTAACCAGAAAATCAGGTTTGTGAACAGTATTTCAGCAACCAAAAGCGCATGCATTGTGTCAGTACTGCTCATCCAACTCAGCCCAGCTGATCCATTCATACCTGTTGCTGTTACGTGAAACACACATAATGTCTCTTTTCGGAAGACTGACAAATGCATAACATGTAGGTGCAACAGCTATTCTGTGTTACAGCTTGCTGCCCTGAGTCTGAATTCCTCTGACAAGAGACATTCTGTATAT